ATGGGTGAGTGATGCACCCTGCTAGCTTTCATTTGCATGACGTATAGGAAGGACATGAATCTTATACCATTTGAATATCAGGAATTTTTAAGGACAGAAGTGCTCTTTTTAAAAGAGTGTTTTCCCAGTCACTGGTTGGTAGATGATTCAAAGTTTATAGTAGTTGCAGATATTTCTAACAGCAAATACAATTTGGAGTGTTTATATCCTTGTTATATTTTAAAATGTGTATGTCTGTAATGTGTTCTGAAAGGGCAATATGGCATTGCCTGTCAAAACGTAAGTTCCTTTTTTGAAATTTTCAGCAAAATTCTGATTAATTACATGTACTAGAGGATAAAAATCCTATTCTGCTGGTTTTTGGCTCCTCTAATGTTTAGGGACCAGAATTAGTGATTAGGGTTTAGCTAAATCAAGTTGCCTTTCAAAAAAGCAGGTCTGTTGGCAAATTTTTGCAGCCAGTTAAAGTTCTGTTTCATATATCTGAAAACAGGCTTAGAAGCACTGTACAGCTGTCTGTGTGTTTTTACTCTTACAAACTGATTTGACTTTAATGGTGAGCTGCCTTTGCTTTGCACAGATCTGCTATCGTGTTTGTAGTTGTATTTCCCAGAACTCTTAAGGTTACTTTTTTTATTTGCATAGACATGTGTCAGGGATTCCATTTGCCTTATACTTACCATGTGTTTTTCTAATTTTGTCACTTTTAGCTTTGGGTTTCAGTTAAGAAGCATATCTTTGCATCCAGTTTGAGGGAGCAGCTGTTTATCCTGCAGTTTACCTAGGTAGGCTTTGATCCTTCAAGGTAGTGTAAAAGCTGCCATTTTAAGCCTAGCAATATAGTACATAAAGAAAACCATCCTGCCTTGCTCACTTAAAGTTTCTTACAGCTAGACACCATGATCTGGACATGGTGTTTCAGTTACACCTCAAAGTGCAGGTAAAGCCTTTATATCCACCTGGCTGCTAGCCCCCTCTAAAGGTATGTCAAGGTTTGCACAGTGGTGCACTGCATGCATACAAGATTTTTTTGTCAGAGTACACACTTCCCTGGTTTTAGTGTTAGAAACTTAGTGCCAGCACAGGGAGAAGATGGTGAGTTAGAGGATTATATGAAATACTGTCTTGAGTAGTTCTTGCAATGTCAAGTAATGTTTCAGGCTCAAAAATCACAACTTTGTAAACGTGTAATGATCTGTGATTATTGATGCTGTATGTATTTATTACACCAAGCATCTACTTGAGTGAATTCTGGATGCACTGGAAATGGTTGGATGCTGTCTTTACCTAAAGTAGTTTGAGAAGAGCAATTAGGCAAGATGTTCTTTGTTTCACAACTGAGATCTTGAAAGACAGAGGTGTCTGAAAATAAAGGAAGAAACATGGTTTGGGTGCTAAAATGATGAACAGGAACACTTTTGGTGAGCTCAAGAATAGCACCACAAGATTTCAGAAGAAATAAGACCAAATAAATGGGTAATTAATGAGGAAGCTAGCCCAGTGGTGTGAAGTGATCCAAAGCACAGTGTAAAAAAGCGTCAGCTCAAGAAAGGTATTGGTAACAAGCAAATAATCTTGAAAATAATACAGATCTCCAGAAGCACCAGAGAACAGAAGTTCTGGAGAGACTCAATCTGTGTAGCTTAACAGCAGGTGAAGGAATAATTTGATCTTCACTTAATGTTTCTGTGGAGACCAGGAAACGGAGACTAGAAGTCTCATCAGTTTAACAGGCAGTTGTGTGTGAAGATCTAATGGCCTTGCTGCAGTTTCTAGCCAACTTGAATTGGGGGAAAATGCTTAGTGTTATGTGCACTGTTGGTTTTCTGGGATAGCTTACCAGTGTGTTGCAGAAGATGCCTCAGGATGGCAGACTTTCAGTCAAGATATTGTGCTGCTGCTAAACTTTCCTGTCCCAGCATGAGTCAATTAAAACAAAGAATTGAGGGGGGTGGGGGGAAATCTCTAGTGGACTCAGAAGCTTGGCATGGTGACATTTTACTGTGAACTTACTGCTGAACATGATCAGAGCTTGAACCTTGGATAATACAGCACAATAGGAAGTGAGAGAGGTTGCTGACTTGAATGCTGAAGGGATTCTTTTTTCTCTGTAGTGAAAGTTAAAGGAGACACTCTTGCTTGACCTTGAGTCTGTGTGCTTAATGTTGTAATGGCTAATTGAATGCCAGGTGAGGAGTTTTAATTTTGGTTATAAACATGGAAGAAATAGCAAGTGGTAGGTCTATAATTAACTTCCCTCTGTACTTGGAGAAAACACCCACTAAACTCCTCTGAAAAGGCAAGTGCCTGAAAATCTGAAGCCACTAGAGCAAAACTTTCTCTCTATAGAAACCAGTTTTAGTACCATGTGTTGTGAGCAAAAATTGTATGTATGTGTAAGGATGGAAGTTCCCCCCCTTAGACGTTGGTGTAATGGGTCAGCTTTGGAGCATTTGGCTGGGAGCACAGGCTCTTCAGAGGCCTTCCTGGGTGGCAGAGTTGGGCATCAGTTTCCTGCTGAGCCCTGGTTTCAGGGAGTTCTTATTGTATGCCCCCAAATGTGGTGGTAATGCTAATAATTTAAGCTTTATTTCAAACTGTGAGGGATTGTCTGTGGTTTTATTACTCTGAATAGATTCCTGTTGCATGTTGTACTAAGATTTTGTCTGCTTTCCTTACCCTGTGTCTTTGTTACCTCTGTTTCTAAACTTCAGCTGACACGATCCTGTGTTCCTCTTCTAACTTGTAGCTGATCAGTTAGAAGCCATTCCCTGTATCTTCTCCAGAATTTCTGTCTCAGTGGAGGGGAGTTGCTCTGAGCTTGGATACAGGGCCTTATCATGGCAGTTGTGTGATGGTATAATAGTTTCCCTTGTCATCTTTTGTAATATTTTTTGGCTAAATCTTCAGACCCTATTACCCCCTTCTGCTGCAGTTAAGTTTTCCCACCTTCATGTTAGTTAAGTAGAAACAAGTTCTCTTTCATTGTCCTGAATGTTGTTTTTCAGCTTTACGGTCAAGAGAACCTTTCTGCACTTGCTTTCACTAAACCCACAGGCCATTTCACTGACTGTTCCTGAAATACTTTTTTTCATTCTTTATGAATGCAACTTTTGATGGTGTACAGTATCTTTCAGTTTTGGTATTGGCAAACTTTGTTGTTCTGCAAGCGTGATCCAATTGTCTGGCTTTGTTGCAATCTTATTACCATAATTGCTTAAAGCGGCATCTCTGCCAGCATGTTCTTAATATGGCTACACCAAAATGTCTTACTCTTTCTCCTTGTCGTTATTTTTGTGAAACACCCAAAAGCAGTGTCTGCATTTTTACTGTTCTCAAAATTAAGTGAATAGCTTTCTTTTAACCAGTCTGATATGCATATGACTTCTTAATCCTTCCCTGTCCGTCAGCCTCCATAGTACCATTACTTGTTTTTTCTCTATGAATGACTTCCAAGTTTTGTTTCTTTGTCATAACACATTACTTATGTCATAGCGAAGAAAAGCTTTGTCTAACTCTTAAGTATGCAGCTCACTAACACTCACTATTTTTGTTGCTATATGCTAAAAATTTCTCAAGCTGTCCTGTGTTCTTACACCAAGATTGTGTCGACACTACCTTTAACACTCCCATTCAGTGCGTTCCTGCATATGTGCACTTGTGGAAAGTCTTATTCTTTCTGCACTTTTGTTTGTAATGTTTCTGGGTCCTTTTGTGTTCCTTGTTTTCAACTACTTCTAATATAATGTCTTAATTTTCATTCACGTGCTGCCTACCTTCAGTTTTGCATCACTGTTGCTAGGTGTGGGTCTTAGCTTTAACCACTTCATCTTTCTTAATCCTCCAAGTTTGAAAATAGTGGCAAATATGGAAATAATATTTTAGTACTGGCAAAACAAATGGAAAAATTTATTTGGAAGCTGTTTTGTAAAAATGACACTTCCTTTCCATTGTCTTTTAGTTGGTGAGAGATTTTTTTTTGATGCTGTGTGCATATTAGTGATGGATAATTGCCTGGATCTCTTTATGTCTGTGTGTTTCCAAATTTCTACCTCTCCTTTGTTATATTGAGTACAGATACTGGTGACAATAATCTGATTTACTCTTAGTTCAAAATGTTTCTTTTGTGTATTTCTTAGCAAAAACATGGATTAAAAGTTTCTGAAATGCTGGAAGAAGTAGGAGTTTACCAGGTCAAGTTTAGGTATAGCCCTGGATTGCACAGCAGTGCTCTTTAAAACAGATGCCTTAAGGTTCTTTCATTTGAGTCTGAAGACTTTCCTTGCTTTTTTTGAGAAACTAATTAACTATAGCTCATAGGGGAAATTTTTTAACAGATGCAAGCCATTTTCTTTTTGCTCAGTTTCATTCTTTCATTGCTGCTTGAAAATTGAAATTTAAATTAAATAAATTGAAATTTATTTCAATTTTACTTGAAAAATGTAGTTCTGACGTACTACTTCCTTTGTTCTTGGCAGTAACCAGACTTTGGTGGTACGACAACACATCCAGAAAGCAGGCAGCAAAATAATTATAAGCAAAGAAGCAGAACTGTTTTTCTTGGAAAATGCTTTCACCAAAGATGTGAACAGTTATAAACAATTAAATAAATACTTGATAGAACATAATCTTCAGTGTTCTGACTAAATACACAGTTTGTGTAATTCAGCCTCATATCTATAGTAGCACTATATACAGTGATATTAGCTGTTGGGGAAGGGACTCATGGAAGCAAAATGTTGTTTCCTGATGATAACTCATTCATAAAAACACTGGCATCATGACAACCAATTTTTAAGAGCACGGTAGGGCAGAGTTTTCCCTTAAAAGCTATTGACCTTAACGGCAGATACAGCATTAAAACTTTATTTTTAGCATTTCATAGCTAACATGATTGTATGCATGCCCATTTCTTATCTTTTTTTGTTGTTTTAAGTTTAGGAAACAATTTGATAAATATAGCAAATGCATGGGGGAATTTATCTGTTTTGTTCTTACAGTAACAAAACCTTGTAGGAGAGCAGATTTTCTTGCATCAAAAAAAGCTGCAACTGTTGATCAAGATCACCAGTTTAGATGCAAGTTCTTGGACTGTTCAAAATCCTTCCGCAAAGCCAAGTTGTTGCATTATCACTTGAAATACTTTCATGGAGTGGAGAAGGCTGCAGAATCACAGCAGAACCCTGTAAAAAGAAATATTCAAACCAGAGCTTCTTTGGCTTCTGAAAAAGCTAATCAAGAAAGGTCAAAAAGAGGACGGATTGCAGCTAGTTCGCTCTGTAAGTATGTTGCTGATCTCTTCCTTTTTTTCAACAGCAGCAGGCAGGACAAGCTGGAAAGAGCAGAAATAGATTTTCTTTTGGGGTGAAGGAATCTCTTTTGGGCTCCATCTTAGTATATTTCTTTGTGGACAAGCAGCATAATATGTGTGAACATTATGTTTTAGAGAAGATAAAACTGAAGGAACTACCTTATCTAGAAATATAGATCATGTTCTATAATGAACCAACTGTTCAGCTTCTCTTCTTCCTTTAATAGCTCACTTGAGTATTAAAGCTCTGTTCTTTTTTCAAAACTACAATTCCCTGAATTCCTGATTTTGTGTTTTGTTTTGTTTTTGTTTTTTTTCCCCTGGCTTAACAAATACCTAATTAGTATTGTTCAAAGACTATTGTCCTTTTCTGTCTTAAGGAAACAGTCTGAGTAACTCCAGTGCTCTCCTATTTCTTACTTGGTCTTTACATGTCATGGTCTGACTTCAAGAGTATACTTGGCTAGAAATCCAGTACCACTTTCTGCAGTATTTACTGTTCTCATTGATGGACCTGTGGGGGAAAAAAAAGTCCTAGTATTTAACAAAATTGCTACAGCTGTACTTGAAAAAGATCCTCACACAACTGATGGGTAGTGGAAAGGGATAAAAACTTAATGGTTAGGAAAAAAAAAATCAATGCTTATGTTATAATTACTTTGCAGTCTTCAGAATCACATTAACTTCTGCTTCACCATCTCACTCTCTGAAGCACTTTCTTCCTAGTGTCCTGTGTAACATCAGAGTGGCAATCTAGGTCTAGTTGTGAATTGCAGTGTTGTTTTTGATAACCTATCCAAACTTTGTTCTTGTGGACTGACTTCCCTTTGTACTGCAGGTCCATAAAAATTGTCTTCTCTTTTGTATTCTGGTTGAGCCTGTTTTATAGAATCCAGCTTTCTCTTTGCTGAATTCCCTGGTGGTTTTTGTCTTTGCATTTGATCTTTCATTAATACCCTGTTTAAGAATTTTGAAGTCTTGAAAGTTGTTCACTGAGCTACAGCTCGCTACAGCAGAATATATCTAGCCTTACTTTGCTTCATGTCTGCTTTCCCTAGTGTGTCCATTAACTGTTTTTTCATTTGAGGGGCTACTGCCAGTTCCTAACAAGTGTAACATAACGTACTGCTACTACATGTAAACTTCTATGCCCCAAATACTTCTGTAACTTTAATGCAAAGGAATAAGATTTGGTTAGGTAGAGGAAGATTTTTCTTTAAATGCGTTAGGGTGTGCCGACTGGTGTTTATTATACTTTGCATGCAGCTTAAATGAAACCCAAGCACTGCCTTGACAAACACACCTGAGACGAGTGCTTTATGAAGAATGGCTGTTAACAACTGCACAGTGATCAAAGTAGGCTTGCATGTCACATGCTTTTCCATAAACGGACTTCTATTCAGCTTTTTGTAACTGCATAATTATTTTGGTTCGAGAAGTTGTTTTCCTGTGGTTGTCTGGAATGAACTGACGAGTGACTCAAGATCTTGACCCTTTCATTTATCCTTTCCCCCATGTGTACACTGTTGGTTTGATATCATCATCTTGGCCACATGGGCAGGTAATTCATTATGGTGTTGAGTTGTAACTGTATTTGCTTATTTTAAGCCCCCACCCCTTTCACTCCTCATTTGTGGATGGGTACTTTTAACCTGGATTGTTTCAGTGATGCATTTCATAGCATATCCCTGCAAATAGTCCCTGGGTTGTGCTGACAGCTGTTGAACAGTGCATCAAAGTGAAAGGTGGACCGTAAATTTTTCAAGTCACCTTCACTGTCAAAGCCTGTTATTGTGGAGCTACAGTAAGGTTTTTCTTGATGAGGAAAAGTAATGTCGTCATATATCAGTTATATTGTATGTCTGATACTAAGTGCCATTTGGTTTTTAACTCATTGAGTTCTTAATTCTTCTAATTTTTGTTGTGGGGGTACCACACGTTGTGAGGTAGAGTTAATGGGGTTTATGAGCTCATACTGTTGCATTTTGTGTTCTGTTCTGTCTTTTTGGAAGCATCTCTTCTGTTATTAATGACATGTATAGGAAGATAGCCTGCTAAGCAAGACTTTCTCCATGTCCACTGAACGCTTTTATGTCACCTTTTTAAAAGGCTTTTCAGGAGTACTGCTTAGTGAGAGCAAAGGCTTTTGAATACATAATTTAAGTATGGTACACGGTGGGTTTACTTTTCATCTTTACAATCCTTTTGTGAGCAAAAACTCTCCTGGTCAAAGTGAATATATTTAAATAATTTTACCTTTTGGTACAAATGTCCTTTTCTTTTCTTTTATACTTCGTTATATTAGATAGGTTTTAGTGCTTAAGAAAAGGTGGCAGTTTCTAACAGATAAGACTTCAGAAATCATGAGTCTTGTTATTCCATAAGCTTGGAGATACTCTTGCTTTAGAAGCTTTAGTACACTTAAGTCTTTATCTCACAAGTTTTATTTTGGAGTTCTGGAACTCCTTACTATTTCTGCTACACATCAAAATAAAATAATAAGTAAATGGTGGGGGTGGACTGTTGTCTGTATTTAAAGTGAAAATACTGTTTTTAAAGTTCTGGGAAATTATGCAATATTCAGCAAAACCTTTTCTTTGTGCTTAAAATCAGAATTTTGACACATAGAAAAGATGGATATAAGTGGTCTTCAATGACCATGTTGTGGGATGCAGGAAGAACAATTTAAGTATAATTACTTTGCACTAAAGTGGAGACTGAAATTTCAACATCTGAAGTGTAAATCATGCCACTTGGTGTTGGCTTCAAAACTTGAGTGAGATGGACAGGTTAATGTGGAACAGATTTGTCTTGTGTCTCCCTTTTCCCTAAGAAGGATCTTACTTTGCAGCGGCAAATTCAACAGATATCTCTCTAAATTCTGTAGTGGCTCTTCGTTGAACAGAGGGGAAGGAACTACCACTGCCTAGCTTGTATTTTAGATATGCCTTACTACTCTGAACAGAATGATGCAGACTTAAATGGCTACTGGATGCATTCAGGCAATACCTCTTTTTAATTTATCAGGAAATATTGCAAGATCATTGTGATGAAACAACTCTTCCCCCAACCCCATGTTATAATACTTACCTCCATGAGTATTGCTGCTATTTGGTCTTCAATGAGAGCATTGTCCTTACAGAGAATAAGGCACTTGCTTTTTTTGTCCCTTTGGAATATAGAAGATGCAGACATTTCTGCCCTCAGCTCTTAAGTTGCGTTTCACCTCTGCAGGTGCATTATAGAGCCACCTGCAGCCCTTCTCTTAAAGAGGAGAATCAAGACCTGCACAGACATAAATAGATGCACAGGCTTAAAACAAGCTTTTTGAGCATAGGCAGCAGATGACTTCTCAAAGTCTGTCTTCCAGGAAAGACTTGCTTAAGTTTTTGACAGTTCAAATTGAGATGTTCTATCAAATTTATCACTTGAAATTGAATGTGGTATAGTATGTATTAAAACTTTTGGCAGTTAGTTACTACTTGTGGATTGCTGTAATAAAAAAAACTGAGTAGAACCACATTCCATCTTCATATGCATTAACCTTAGGATAGACTTTTTTCTTTGTTGTCCCTTCCCTTTCTCTGCACAATCAGTTTACTGTTGGAAGTATGTTCATCCCATACTGTGACTTGTGCCCTGCAAACACTTATTGTAAACACTTCCTCTGAAGGTGTCAGTTTTCTCTTTCAGATGCCTGTTTATCCATGTTATTTTATGTGAAGTGCCTACAAAAGGTTATTTTTGATGAAGTTTGTTGTTTCCTGACGTACACCTCTCCAGGGGCACAAGGCATGGAATAGCTTCATTTAATTCTTTGTACCTGCAACTCCTAACTTTAATGTCTTAACTTCTTGACTTTGAGTCTTTCTGAATTGGTGGCTTTCATTTTTTAGTAAAATCTTTTTCATTTGGAGATTCAACAAAATTTAGTTCAAGCCCTTGTGTTGAACAATTTTTCTGAAATCTGAAAGTCAACTTGTGCCAGACTTCAGTGCTCACACAGGTGGTGTACCTCCTGTCAGACCTTCGAAACACTCTATACTTAGGTATACTATAGGTACTGAAGGTTTGTCAGGAAGTTCTAACCTCATTAGATGTGAACAAGTAGGGGATTTGATAATGTGTGTGCAAGGAAATGCCATCAAAACCTTCATTAAGGTGTCTGGTGTACCCTTAATGCTCTTAACCACTTAGTAGTGCTGACAGACTTGATGCTGCCCTCAGCACAACTGTCTTACTGACAGGGACTTTGTCAGTTGATACCCTTACACTCCTAGGGAGATAGTTCAGTTTCCCTGAGGAGTTTTGCTTTAATAGAAGTTAAACCTGATTTTGAGACTTTAAAAATGCTGTGCAGTATTAGGCTGCAGTTTTTGTATGTGGGTATATAATGGCAGCTTCAGTCTGGCAAGTTGCTGCCAGTCTTGGCTCTGCTGTTCTCCTTGCCATGAGGAAGAAAAGACAGCAACAGACCTGTGATTTGTAGTTCAGAGACTGTAAAAAATCTGTCCCTACTGAGGAGTCCATAAAAGGTACTTAACGAAAAAACATGCATATTGTCACTAGGTTTAAATTTTTGTACATGACCTTGTTCTTAGAAAATTCTGCCTCCTTGGAGTTAGTTACAGTGTGTTTTGTTAATGTATAAAGTGTCTTAATGCCAGGAATCTGTGTAAAGAAAAAAGTGGTCTCATCTTTACTCATGGTACTGATGAGATCCTAACCACGCGTGCATAGGCAACAGGTTAGCAAACTTGCTTTGACAACTTAAACATCTAAGGCATCTAGTTGTCAACTGATAGCTGTTAATGTGAACCTCTGGCATGTGGCTTAGTGGTTTTCAGGGTGACCCTTCGGGGGGGCTTCCTGTTTCATCTGAATATTGGCTGACAGATGTCTCTTTGCTAGGCAGTGGAATGTGCATGGGTGACCTACAAACAGAGGGTTTCTTGTTGGAGTAGGTGA